TGTTTAAGGTTTCGCCCGTCAGTCCTCTTGGAGTGACACCAATGACACCCCTGTCTCACAGTCTATCGGCGCCTTCATTCTCGGCAAACGCTTTCTCAAACACGACATATAGTTATTCATATTCACCAGTGTTTCAATCCATGACATCAAACGCAACAACAAATGTCGCCACAACTGAAGACATCAAAAGACTCGTCACAAACGGCAACCAAAAAAATAGTTCAACAATTGTTTCGAGCCGTGAATCCAAAGCAAATAACAGCGATTTGATTGATTTGGTGGACAATGAAGGCCAAGACATTCTCGAAATGTTTGATCCATTAAGTCGTCAGGAAAACAATGACTTAAACTTTTCCAACAACTTTGAACTCGACTCCGAGTCTTCAGCTCAAGAAACTAATAAACCAGAAGCAGAATCTGTGAGTGTTTTTTACCTTATGTTTTCTATGCTGTACTTATGTCTGAAATTATTAGATAATGAAAACGGAAACCAATGAAATTAAAGCCGAAGAACAGCCGAAAGAGTTGATTCCCAACTCGAATGATATCCACCAACCTTTTCGTGTGGTTTCGCGCAAATGTCGCGCTAACGAAGAGTTGGACAACTTTTTCAAGCAATTAGTTGTGTTGAGACGACAGTATCGTCACGACGACTACATCGCCAACTCTGGACTCGTTATATCTCCCACTTTGGACGCACAACACGACAAATCTCTGAGCGTCAAACTCGTGATCGAAACTCAATTATCTCCGCAACCGGTTTCGTTCACTTGCAATGTGGACACGAGTGTCGAACACATCATATGTCATGTGATTTGCACTCTCGTTGAAGACGCCTCTAATGTGAGTTGATTTCCAATTTTGTTATCTCTTTCGCTGAAAACAATATTGGATTTTAGGTAAAAATGGACGACTATTTGCTGAAAGTTTACGGTTTGACCGAATACTTGGCTTCGGACTCGGTTTTGGCGAATTACTCATATGTCCATCAGTGCCATAAGTTTGATAACGACGTCCACTTGAGTTTAGCCCAAGTAAAAGACTTGAAGCGACCCTTTGCTCGCACTCTCAGAGACGACAA